TGTGGTTCCGGTCGCGGGGATCCGAGGTGAAGCGATTCCGCTCGTTCTGTGGCGGATCCATTTCCGTTTCCGTTTTCGCTTCTGATTTGTGCGCGTCAGGCTGGATCCTGCCCTGGATCGTGCTAGATCTAGTGTTCGCTTGTTGGATCGGTTAGGGTTCGAGATCCGATCTGACGCGCGAGTTAGGGTTTCCGAGAGCAGCGCTTTTTCCTGCAGGAAATACGGCTTGTTGAGCGTATTTCCCCTCTGTTTGGAGCGAGTTTAGTGGGGATCGACGGGGGATTTCGGCAAGGATTCGAGATCTGCCCAGAAACGTGAAAATGCGCGCCGTGCTGATGTTCGTTGTGGTGCTAGTTCGGTAGATCCAGCGCGCATCTCGGCAGATGGGGTGCGAATCTCCTGTAGCGAGGTCTAGATCTAGTCGCCTTGCTAAGAGAAGGATGCATGTTTTTATTTGCTTGTGCCGATCTAATTTCAACTTCCAGTTCTGTTTGGTTGTTATTCCGTGGAATATTGTTTTCTCAACCTGAAGCTCGCTGGTGTTAGATTAGATTTGTCCAATAGAATATCAGAAAAGTCAAAGAATCAAAGGCTGGTATGGATGGCTCCTTTTGAGGATGTAGTAGGGACATTTAGATGCATACACTCCCCAAAAGTGATTCCTTACCTAGGTTGTAAAAAGTTGGGCTAGCTCTCTAACTATACTGTATCATATGAAAATTGCTCACACCACTTGCGAATCTGGGAAAGAGGATGATTTGTAGCAATTGTATATTCACTTTCGTTTGGTTCATTTTCTTCAGATTTTGAAATTAGTTTGCTTGTTGATCCCACATCCACTGTTTTTTGTAGCACGGTGCATATATGGGCAAGTAATAACAGTGACAATTTGTATTTGCAGGCACTGAACTAGTTTGCAACAAAGAAGAGAGAAAATGTCTACCGCTGAGGCAACCCGTGAGGAGAATGTGTACATGGCCAAGCTCGCCGAGCAGGCTGAGCGTTATGAGGAAATGGTCGAATTCATGGAGAAGGTGGCCAAGACCGCTGATGTAGGTGAGCTCACTGTTGAGGAGCGCAACCTGCTCTCTGTGGCTTACAAGAATGTGATTGGTGCCCGGAGGGCTTCCTGGAGGATCATCTCCTCCATTGAGCAGAAGGAGGAGAGCCGTGGGAACGAGGCCTATGTCGCATCAATCAAGGAGTACCGTACCAGGATTGAAACCGAGCTCAGCAAGATCTGTGATGGCATCCTCAAGCTTCTGGACTCCCACCTTGTCCCCTCTGCCACTGCAGCAGAGTCCAAGGTGTTCTATCTGAAAATGAAGGGTGACTACCACAGGTATTTACTTGCTGCGTACAGAGAATTATGCCAGTCCATAGTTGTTGGATACTTGGATGTACACCAATTTACTCTCTACTCCCTGATTGTGAATCCATAGGTACCTTGCGGAGTTCAAGGCGGGTGCTGAGAGGAAAGAAGCAGCTGAGAACACTCTTGTAGCATACAAGTCAGCCCAGGTTAGCTTTCATGGACTGTTTGCTAATTTGAAACATACGGTATCATGAACCAGTTTGCTTTATCATCATCTTTCTCTTGCAAAGTTGAATACATGTTCTGTCATTCCTGGTTGGGATATACTGCGCAGGCTATTCTTCTGTTTGTGTGTGTATTGTTCCATTGAGTGTGCACACTGACATTAATTTATTTATTATTATGTAGGACATCGCGCTTGCTGACTTGCCTACCACCCACCCGATAAGGCTTGGACTTGCACTCAACTTCTCAGTGTTCTACTATGAGATCCTGAACTCTCCAGACCGTGCTTGCAACCTTGCCAAGCAGGTTAGTCTTCTGTTTTATACATCACATATTTTGTTGATGAGTTCTTCTGTGTGGAAACTATTTTGCCCTGCTTGTTAATTCTTATTTGATGGGAACTACACCTGAGTGCCATTTCTCATGGAAGCTATAGAGTAGGATTCTGATCTTTGGTGAAATTGTTGTTTCAGCATTTCTTATGCTTTACTTTATGGTACTATAGCATTAATGAACAACTATCCTTGTTAACTATGCCAACCAGTCGAAATGATTCATGCTATTGAAAGTATAGTTTGAACCATCACTTGACATTGAGGAAAAGGGTCTCAGTCTTACCTCTGTTATATATCTAGAATGCGATTAATTCTGGAATGTTTACTTGTTGGTAGGCATTTGATGAAGCTATTGCTGAGCTGGACTCCCTCGGCGAGGAATCCTACAAGGACAGCACCTTGATCATGCAACTTCTTCGTGACAACTTGACTCTCTGGACCTCTGATAACGCAGTATGTGTCTCCCCATCTGAACCTCTACCTGTATTGGTTCGTCATGGGTGGTGTTGAAAACCTTGTTACTCATAATCCTGTTAAACTTTTCCAGGAGGAGGGTGGTGATGAGATCAAGGAAGCCGCCTCAAAGCCAGAGGGAGAGGGGCACTGATTGGCCGGCCCTTGAGCGTGCCCAAGTTTATTTCTGAGTCCATTTACGCAGCTACCTGTATCATTCGGATCATAAGATGTACTAGGGTCAGTTGCACTATGTGAATCATAAGATGTGGTAGGATGGTGCTATGCGAAGCGTGTCGAGCTGAAGTACCTAGTGGACTACAGTCATGAGGGCGGTCATGTGGACATCGTCGCTTCTTAGTTCATTAGCAGATTTCAAACTATTTCCTGTATTGCAGCACATTATTAGTATTGCTGTATTAGCAATTTTCATGGCTTGTTGATGATTGATCATACTTGGCGTCAAGCACCCCCCTGAGTTTTTCTTGTCCTACTTCCCTCTCCAAATAATTGACTTGTAGGATTCTTCTAAGTCAAAAGTTTGATCATTTTGATATAAAATTAATTATATCAGCATCTACAAAATTAATTTTATTCGAAATGTATTTTCGTATTATATATGTATTTGATACTCTGTTGTGTTTTTACTGTTGACATATAAATCCCCTTTATGTTTCTACTGTTAGACAATTCAACTTTGTTTCAATTTAGTGACTCAAATTTAAAATGCAAAATTCAATAAAAGATATATGATGGAACTTCAAAGAAACATATTTCCCCTTGTGACACAAATCCCAGGCCAAGAGCAACCCGAGAATCCGTGCCCCTTCTAATTTCCAAAAGTGATTCTTCTTTGTCACCCATCCCATTTGGATCCATCAGTTTGTACCTTTTATCTCTCTCGTCAACTTCATCTCCTTGAAATTGAATGAACCATACGCCCCAAGTCAGCCTTGCGCTTCGCCGTGGCCCCCATGCCCACCTCGTACTCCTCTTGTTTCCTCGGCTGTCTCTTCTCATTCTTTTTTTTGACCATGCCTCTTCTCATTCTCTTTGACTTCTTATCACCTTGCTAATTTCTCCTATTTCTTGAACGGGATTACTTCATGTACTATGCTTTGTGTCCGATTTTCATACAATGGTCAGATGGATGGTTGTAGGCCCAAATAGATGCTAACATGGATGAAAAGTGCAAATGGATGATGGGTGCATTGGTGGACTTTATTAAAAAAATAATTCAAATTGCAAAAAAAAATGTACATACACAAATACATATATAACACATTCACGAAAAGTTTCGTAACAATATACTCCCTTCGGTCCTTTTTACTCTGTATATAAGAATTGTTTGAAGTCAAACTTCACAAAATTTGACCATATTTATATGAAAAAATATCAACATCTACCATACTAAAGTTAACAATATAAAAATTTAACTCATGACACATATACTGATATTGATTTTATACTGTGAATGTTTGTATTTTTTTCTATAAAGTTGGTCAAACTTTATGAGGCTTGACTTTAGACAAATCTTATATGCGAACTAAAAAGAACCGGAGGGAGTACTACTTGCATACATGGCACAGACAAAAAAAACACATACATGGAAATGGGCCACCATTTTCTTTTTGGTGTTGGACCGAAATCTTGTTTTTTTGTGCAACTTGCAAATCGTAATATTTTTGAACAAAATTTTACAGATCCACCATGAATATGTATAAGTTCTCGTAGACTTTTTTGAACTTATAAATATCGTTTTTGAATCATTTGAAATGAAGTCTTCCAATGCCCCCGTCCACACAAACTTCGCACTCCTAACATGGATGGTTAATATTGTGTGTTAGTACAAATATCGTATGGATTTTATTACATGTGTAGCGGTGCTCTTTCTTTAATGTCAATTCCACATTGTCTCTGCCAACTCATCCCTCGACAAAATCATCTCAAACTTTTCTCTCTAGGCATAAAACTTTGCTCCCTACCAAAGCCTCTCCTACTCTTTCTTCGTCCTACAAGCATCTATGCAGTTAGTATGACTTTCTAGACCTCCCATCCTCCTCCTCCCCATCTACTTCATCATTGCTCTTTGAGAAGAGGAGTGATTTGACATCAGTCTTTTAGGCGGAGGGTCACCATTCCTGGTTTGTCACTTTTTATGCTCTTCGGAAATGCACGATAGTGACGGAGTGTTGAGAACTTTCGTTCGGACTTAGGCATATGCTTGTATGTAATTGTCATGTGGCATCGAACAATTCAGGATGCATATGAGAAGTCAATTCTTAGCCCATAGTATAAGAGATCAACTCTTAGCTATGAGAAGTCAAGTTTTAATTTTCTCTCCATTTCTCCCTTTCCCACTTCACCATTTATCCTACCTGATACCGCTAAGATAGTTTTAATGTAAACGCCCTAAGCAAGCCCATTAATTTTTCTTATTTTCTGCCACTTTTCATTAGTACAGTAAACCAATACAAATTCATGCTTTGCTATTGCGTGTTCCCAAGTTTGTAGTTGCTTTTGCACTACCTTTTATTTGTTCTTTATTCCACGGCTCGGGTAGAACTCAAAATTGCTTAGGAGCATAAATAGAGATCTGTTGCTAATGATTTCTCCATTGCCATACCGTTTATATTCGATATCTAATTTATGATTCCATAGTATGGCATTTTAGACCTAGAGGAAATGTTGACCAATCGCTAGCCTCTTCTTTCCCCTCTCACAAAGCAACTGGGGCATAGTCTTCCTCCTCTCGATCTCTGTTAGTGAGATCGTGGATTTGCCTCACCTCTATGTGCCGATTCGACACCCCGGGGTGGGGAGGGAATCTTGGTGCCTTGGCTATGGTTAGTATATATGGTTTTAGTCCTAACAAGAGTGATACTTGACGGATGTCGATGCCTCATCTCTGAGTCAATCTTTCAGGCTCCAACCCTCCACGAGTTCATCCGTTGGGACAGATTATGCAGAGCTTTGACATAGATTCCTGCCGGCTCCTCGGGGCGTCTAGGTTGGGTTTTATCGACGTGTGTGCGTGACGGTGATATTTGGTGTCAAGTTCTTCAGATCGATTCAAAGGTTTAATGACTTTGCCTATGACTTTAGGGCGCCGATCCTTATGGTCACATGCATACGGAATTATTGGTTGTCATCAACATGATGAGGCCGACTCCAGTATGAGAGAGAGAGAGAGGCGACATCGACACATCAGCGCTTATTTTGTGGTTCAAAGACCTCAATACATTTTTATTATTTTTGGTGTGCTTTGTACCTCTGATGATTTTTTCCGCAAAGAAACCTCTAGATGAAATGCTTACCAGAGAGCCCGTGGATTTGCCTCCCCTCTACCCGTCGCTCCGGTGGCCGGCGGAGAAAAGAGGAATTCATGTGCCTTCGCCTAGATTAGTAGTTTAGGTTAGTTTTTTTAATCCTCGCAGGTGCGACGCTTGAACGGGCGGTGACACTTCTTCTTCGAGTTTGTCTTTCGTGCTCCGACCCTCCTCGAGTTCGTCCGTCTGGACATAGTCGATGAAGCTCCGACATAGATTCCTGACATCTCCTTGGAACGGTGATGTTAGGGTTTCTCGTCATGTAACGAGATTTGCTGTCAGATGCTTCAGATATATGCAAGGATTCAACAAAGACAACTGCGGCTCCAGGGTCCTGGTCCTTAGGGCACATGCATGAAGACTTCCCGACCGTAATCGATAAGGTCAAGCTGGCTTAGATAGGGGGAACGGCGACAACGACGCGTCGGTGACTCATTCTATTGGCAATAGTGGTCGTCCGATGATCTTGAAATCTCAATATAATTTTATTATGTTTGAGATGCTTTGTACTTCCAACAAATTTTTATAATAGATTTGATCCTCTTTCCGGGGAAAAAACTAGTAGAAAAACAATCCTACCATTCTCACAGACGTCACTCGAACGTTTGCTCCCACGCGGCTACCAGGCAGAAGGAAGAGGAGAGCGGACGCACCATCGCCGCAACAAAGCCAACAACTGCGTACTGAAGAAAAGAAAACCACTTGTAAAGCAGATCACATATACTCACCGCACCGCACCGCGCGTCGTCGCCGCGCCGCCCCGCCCCACCCCACCGGATCCCGCCAGATCCAGGTGCCCAGATCCCGGAGCGCCCGACTGGCCCGATGGACCCCTCGCCGGCCGCGGCGGAGCGCGACCGCTCGCCGCCGCCGCCCCCTCCCCCGCCCCCGTCCTCCTCCACGTCGCCTCTCGCCGTCGTCTGCAGCTTCTGGAAAGGTCCGCGTCGATCCCCACCTTCGCTGCGCTTGGTTCGAACTGGTGTGCCCGGAAGGCCGGCTGGTCTGAATTGCCGCGGAGCATCGCGATTCCCAGTTGCGCGCGCCTGTACTGGCTCGCAGGGTGCAGAATCTGTGGGGTTTTGCACTAATCGCGACTGGAGAGATCTTAATTTCCTTGAGATGCTTACATTTTCCACCTGCATTCAAATCTGCTACTAGCATGTTTTTGCTTGCCACCTCCTCAATTGGCTCCAAACTGTATGACATGCTCGTGACAGGGAGACCAAGTAGTTTCAGTAGAGAAAGGCCTGAGTCTTCGTCTCGAACTTAAATTCGTTACCTATGAAGCTTGGCAAGCTTTTGCTGTCCTAGTTTAGTTTCTGCACTGATCGAAAAAAGCAAATAATAGATATTACTAGTTTTTGTGCATAGGCCATGTATAGCCACTCTACATCATTCGAACAATGAGCTAGTGATTGATCACAGACGTCATGAACTTTTATTGCCTCCTTGAATTATTTGCATCCATACCGTGTAGGGAGAGTAGCTGTGAGTTGTCATGCCACGTGATCGATACCGTGGTTCCCATGCGGGGGTTTGGAAAGCTACAACGCCTAAATAGCTTCCAAGTGTGAATGCTCATGTGCTGTAGATAACATGTTGATTTATTTAGTTATTGTATGTGGAATGTAGGTTGATGCCTTCGCCATGTAAAATTTTATGCTATCCATGGTGGAGAATCTGACTGTTGTCTCTTGTACAATTTAGACTTTGATTTGGAGAAAGAAAGAAGTGGGTTGGATGAGCAGGGTTTAAAGATTGCGGAGAATCAAGAGACGAGCCAGAAGAACCGACGTAGACTTGCTGAGAATACTCGGGACTTCAAGAAGGCATCTCCAGATGACAAGCTTAGTTTGTTCAAC